CTGCCCCGACATTTCCTCTCCACCTTGATTCATTTCTACTTGTGTTGTTTCCAAATAGAGTGCTTAACATAGGACAATAAACCAGTAATAGGCAAAAAAAAAATAAAAACTGCAAATAGTTAAAAGAATAGCTACTTATCTGTTTTTGCTCATGATTTTCGGCTATCCTAGTCTGTAGGCAATCATTCATAGGTAGGCATGCATACGAAACGAGCATTCAAATCGATGAGTTGCATTATTTTCTACTAAATTCAAATACAAGGGTGCAAAAAACAAAACATCCCGCTTGATTTAGACAAGCTAAATGTAGATGTTCAGGGGGAAAATATGAAAAGAATGCTCATACGGTCGTTTCTGCCGGCGTGTACTATAAATGTTGTTTGGCTAAGAAAAAGGGATGAAAGGGTTGGCTAATAGAAACTCATTATAACGATCTTCGGCCAAGAAAATTAGCACATTTGAAATAGGGACGATTCGTTTTTGGTGTTCGTTGAGACGTCGTGTAGCAAAAATAAAAGCTATAGTCGAAGTATGCTTGGAAGCACATTTACTACTTACTAAAACTAAGCCCTGTACAGAAAAATTACTAGCTTAAGCGCTTTATATAGCTATAGTGACCGTAAAGCAATTGTTGCTAATCGCTATCGTAGTTGGTTTCAGCTTGCCATCGGAAAAATATGCTATAATTGTAAAATCATCAATTTCCCGAAACATTTCCTTCTAGCTATGATCATATATTATAAGACGTGTCATCAGCCCAAAACCGAGCGGGACAAAAAAACAATAAAAAATCATGTAATTGTAGGGATTTTACAATGTGCCGACATGAACCTATTATCTTTTTTTACGTCTACTGAACGAACTATGCTGATTTATATTTGTAGTCGACCAAAAGCTGCACATCTGCAATGAGTTGATCGTTTTACCCTGAATAGGAGAATTTTTGGAAATTACTTTTTTAAAAAATTGAGCTAGGATATTTCTTTAGACGGTAAGTACACTATCGAAATGAAATCGAACTCTTTGACATATTTGTTAGCGGATTCATTCGTAGGAACGCTGCTTAATTCCGTTAGGTACAGTGGATCTGCCTATCTTTTTCTAGCCAGTTATTAAGACCACTTTTATATTATGGGAAGCGATCGGCCACAATAACAAATATAGTACACGGACATGGAATGATCAACGGTCTATTCAGGGTGTTAGCGATCACTGGTGGACGATCGATGACGAGCACACATATTCAAAGATTTTGTCCAGCCTTGGGGCGTTTCTGATCGGAAGGTTTCGTTCGACATAAAAGTGTACACTGTAGAATTAAACAACACTTGGTAATCGAATTTGCTTCCCCCGGGAATAGGTTCGTAGAAGGTTGCCCGTGGGAAGATAGTATAGTTGATATTCTTTACACACAAAATTATGCAGTATTTCTATGTCGTTGGCGGAACTCAAACCAGCGATCGTTGGTCTTTTTAATAGAAAACATTGCCATCAACGCCACCGGTAAGGCTAAGGTTCCGCCAAAGCAAAGCAAAAAGCTGATATTACTTATGAGCGACGATCGAACATGTGTTGGATCATGTGATGAAACTTCAACATTTAATCAGGCTCAAAGTAAAACAACTAGAACATCTGATCATTTTTTCTGTGTGCGTACACCCTTAGTTCCAACAATCCCGGAGTCTCAGCATGACAGAGGATAGCGCTGTTGCATGTCGTCTTAGGAACAAGCAGGCACTTTGACAGTTCGGCATAACAAGGTATAGATAACAGAAATTGGCTGCCAGCCAATTAGAATGGCTGATAAAGCAGAAGAACGCCGTGCACCGTGACGTACCATCTGCTGAAACATCAATTGTCTAATATAATCCGTAGAAGCTAGTACTAAAAAAAATACTAATAATAGTTGAATAATTAGATCAATTACTGCCCGATCTGTTTTTTACTACGAAACTTCACTTCTTTTATTCTAATTCTCTAATTCTGGGTGTTTCGTTAGGGTTAACCCGTTTACCTAGTGGATAAATTAGCAGTACATGCAATAAGGCTCTTCTTCTGCATCTCGACGATAGAACGCTCATTGTCTTATAAATCGTTCCCATTTAGCCTTTTACTTTCTCCCTAAGGGCCTTGATCTAGAACAGTCTCAAAATCGCGGTAGATAAGCATTGCTAGAAGCGTTTTGTAACGTTCGGCTGATGATACTTTATCGACCCTACGTTCGATCGGCTTGCACGATAGATTCGGTACGTGACCAAGAAAACGTCACATATGTGTATTTATATAAACGTTCACCATCTGATGACTCGACCGGCACAATCCTTTGCCCATTTTTGTATGCATGTATGTCGCCTAAAAGGACGTAGACGAAACATTTTTATATTCGAGTCATATAACTATATCCTGTGTATCTGCTGCGTGCTGGCACGTGAAGGCATGAGCGGTAGTTTGCCTGGCCATCATCGAAAGGGTGCAGTTTAACATAAATGTAGAGAAGCCTCGACTAAGGCCTGTAGTGCAGCCCAAGCTTTAGACGATGCTATCCATTTGAGTGGCCAGTGATAGCCGCTTTGGTTGAATTTCGAAAAGTGATTCGTATAAAATTGTCATTGCCAGCCTATTGCCTTACGTAGCCATAATATACAGATTTGTTTGTACGGTTAGGGGCTTTTATGTTCTGACTCTCGTCATGATAGCACTATTCCCGTTAGCACGCATCGCAGGAATCGGAGTTTTGCACTTTAACCAAAGTCTGAGCGCATCCTCAAACGGTCAATTCCTCTGATGATCGATTCACGTACTGCTGCAGCATACTCGATGTACGATGCTCAAAAAGATAGCCGGACCAAACTGACCGTTTTATGATTTTGTCCTATTTGACGCCAATATATGAACGTACATTAGTATAAATCAACGAAGTTATTTTGTATCTATATGGTTTGTACTATAAAATTGTCTACGGCGCCGCTGTAAAATTATTATCGGGTTTTAATTTTACGGTTTTTATAGAGTGACGTTCTGGAACGAAGCTAGGATCGTTAGAGATTGATTTTCGTTACAAGATGTCTGTTTAATCTAAACTTAATTTTTAGATAATTATAGTTGTTTTATGGTTAAAAGTTATAGATGCTTCGTTAGCGATAAAGATCGATCATGGCTCTCTTTGTAAAATAGCTTTTCGCAAAAATCATACTTGACGGAAATTTTAACTCTACTTGAAAATTGAACTTGAAATCAAGTACAACTTAGTAAACTATCTCTTTGTGACGGCATATTGCTAATGTATTGAACCTTCTGTCCGGATGAACACAGGAATAGTATGGGTTTAACTCTGATCGGAGACACACTGTGGCTTTCCAATAAAAATCCTAGCAAAGAAGGAGACAACTGATGCAGCGAACAATTCTTCTTTCACTCTGTTTTTTTCAGATTGCCAGTATCAAGCTTTCAACCCTGGTAAATCCTTTTGATAACGCTAAACAGGTTTTCCAGATAATCACCCAGTACTTCTTCAAACGTTGATAGCGATATCCGACACGCTTGTTCTCATGGTAACTGCGGCGAAGGCCCTTAGAGGGATGCGTATTAGGCTCTTAAGCCTAACCACGTTCATTTAATTAGTGCTTTCGATACATTAGTTTGTCCACGAAGGTAGCTTGTTGTAAACAGGTAAGCTGCACTTATAGCTATTGTCCTCACACAGTTTCCTCTTTTCTGGATTACGAAAGCGTGTAAATTATGATCAGCGTTTTACTAGCTACTATTTCGCATAATTATTTATTAAACAATAGCAATAACCTACTAATTCACATACGGTAGTAAAGCAGAGTCTATTTTCAGGATTTTTCTAAATTTTAAGTCGCAGCTGTTTACAAGATTGTAGGTGCCAGATATGGTACCACTGGGAAGAGAGGATAAAAGTATGACTATGATCAATTAGTTGTTAACCCGTAGAAGAGCTCATATGGCTTTACTTAATTCAAACTGGTGCTTTTTGTTTTATAAGCGCTTTGAAATGAGAGGCTTTCAATTGTGTTTTATTTGATGGAAAACTATAGTAAAGTATCAAAAATGTTTCATGTCAAGAAGGAAATTAAGTACTCAAAAGTTTTGCTAATGATACAAACGGTTTTTGGGGACTGGGCTAAACGTCGAGGGCGAATTTACACTAGGCGAGTACGATACACGAAAGCCCCGAAGGCACCTCCCGTTCTGTTCGATTCGTCACATCTCGCATACGGACGAAAACGTGGAAGAATTAAAACAACGCTTGCAGGAATATAGCTAACAACACTCGGAGGGGTCGAAGAAAAGTTGGCCTCACACGAGCCATGTTAGACCATATTGAAATATCATTTGGAGGCAAGAGGTGTGGAAAGGATGGTGTCGAAAGACATGAATCGGCAAAGCAACTACCCCAAGAGAACTTTAACGTGCTCAGAAGGAGCGCATTTACTCTGACGAGTTATTAAATGTGACCAGATGTGTATATGCACTGGGGGTCGCCTGAGTGTCGCGTAAGAACAACCCTTGGCATACAAAAGCTGCGCGATTTAGGTAAAACAGCAAGCTTTTTCCATCGTCGTTTTCGACTGGGCATCACAAATTTACCTGAGCGTTATCAAGACGGCACATCACGTTTGCCCGACGCGGTCCTTTATCGTAGGCCTAAACTCCGAGAGAGACAGTTAATGCATTGGCTGGTGCATTGTTATTTGTATCATGTTTTTTTTAGCTGAAAAATTTCATGTCTACGTTACCTCGACCTCGTAAAGTTTTCAGCTTTTAATTTTGCTCCTTGTATTTTTTGCCCTGCAGAAGTCGAACATATTAATGCAGAAGTGAAAAGCATGCATAGAAGGAAAAATTTTCTAACCAAGCACATGCCACGGCAGCTTCAGATAACCTTTATTGGAAAAAAAATACATTTCTTGTCAAGTTTATACTCGTATTAGGTATATTTCCAAGAAATATACTATCGTTTACTGTTGTAAGGATCAATTCCGCTATTCCGAGTATTCAGTTGATTAGGGCTTTTGAACGCAACGGGTACATGTAGAGACATTAATGAATCTTGCATAATAAAATCAATCGACACGATACAGAGCTGCCAGTCGTGAGAAAATTTTCTCTGCGATGCCGATGAAGCTTAGACCTGTCCACACACCGATATAACTGCTTATATAACCGAATGTCATTTCCAACTGAAATACAAAAAAAGAAGAGATATCTTCAGTCAGACAAAAGTTGCGTGCTTTCTAGGGTCATCGTCGACAGTATGTGGCACATCACGGAAGCGAATAGATTTTACCTGTTAATAATAAACGATACGTATAATTAAAAACAAACTATATGACACAACTTGCGTATGCACCCAAGTTCATGTTAGTTTTTCGCACGGAGACAGTTTGACGCCGATAGTTTAGATTGATACAAACAACTTTCGTGCAATATAGCTGTGATTCGCTCCTCAGGCGTACCTCGATTGCTTGGTTGTAGGTGAATGTCTCCACAGTGGATGATGCCATGGATAATACGAGGCTCGACTTATGTCTGAAACTCATATAGTTTAAATAAATCTAGTTAAGTTGCAGTCATATTCTACAGCTGCGAACTTACAAGCGGGTATATACGGTGCTTCTTAGAGGTAGTCGAATGGTTGATTATTTAGAAGATATTTACCCGATTTTTCAAAGTAAAGGTAAAGGCTTAAACAACAAGCTTATTTTTCAGATACGCTCAATAAACATGAAGATCTTAGGAAATAACTGAACTTTCGAGGTACCGACTCTAACATTTACTTAGCATGACACATTTACGACGGTTCGCGCGCAAAGGTACCGCATAAATATATGGACCAGTAAGTTAATCGTTCTTGCATTTAGCTACCTAGTATAATATACTACGCAAATCGCAAGAAACAGATCGACAATTGTTTCAACCGCGACAGAAAGACACAAATAAAGCAAAAGCAATAAATTTGAATTGAAAGAACAATATGATTCGTCATTGAGCTTAAAGTGGCCTATACGCTGACTACTTTTTTCTAGGTGTCTCTGTCTTCCTTCGTCCCTGAATATCGACACAAGTTATCGAATGTGCTTGATGTATATTTAACGCAATGATTCCGATAAGTTTATGTTGAAATTTTGTTGAATCAAGCCCAGAAAATTATCAGCAATTCTTCTCGGCCATTATCCAGATAGCTCTTCGATTCCACTCCAATCCTTGCCTATCGGCCGTAATCAAGCGCCTGTTTTGGTTGCATCACTTTAAACGGTCGAGCTGCTAAACTAATTCGATTGGTTCATGGAAGAGAGAAAATGCACAGTAGAAGATTTTTTAACTTTTGTTTAAAAAGCACCCACACGCTTTGACGATAGTACGTAACTGTAGTTGCAAGAAGAGTATTACTCCCGTTCGACTTTAGAAGATATTCTGCCGTATATGCATCGTTCATTAATTCGTGATCGGACTATGTCTTCTGTCGTCTGGCGAAGATTCACGCATAGCTTCTAGTCGAACAGCCCAGTAAATTGGCTTACGAATTTTGCTTGCAGTTAACCTCTTGCTAGAATGAGACTTTGAAATGTACCTTAAATACATTGTCAAGATCTTCATCTGTTAAGGCCCCGTACAGCTTCGTCGAAACATCTAGTCGAATATACCAGGACGGCGAAGATGTTAGGAAATGACCAGTCGCTTTTGTCACCTTATCCAATGCTGTCTGTAGTACCAAGGAGTACTTCTGGGACAATCTAATGTCACACAGATGTACTATGAAATCCTTACGCCATAGTGAATATGTCGGATTTGACACTTTAATCAGTGAAGCAGTAGCTTTTGAGTTTGAGACAGCTGAAATCAGTGCCTTCGAATTATGTTTTCGGCCGAATTTTTTGTTAGAAAATTTTCAGGTCCAATAGACTTCCCGTTCTAGTCAGTTACTTTCTCTTTATAACTTATATGAATTTGTCTCGGCACCGGCTGTACGCACAAGTTCAAACACAGACAAATCATTGCTCCATCGATATTGGCAAATCCCATCTCATTAAAACTGCGTTAGAAGGCCCAGAAGATACCGAAAATTACGCTGTCGGGTTGATACAGGTTGTTTTCCCTCTTCCGGATGCTTTTTTCCCGCAGCAAACTCCTAGCACAATTAATTTTTGCACAAGGCCCAATTGTATCGAACGTATAATGGGATAGCCAACTTGGTGCAGGGCTAAAATGACGCCTTGCGTCAATTTCCCTGATATGACCAGTCTGTTATTTATCATTAGTCGATTATTTCGAGTCATAATAAACTTCCGTCGGAAAAAACACGGCTGACAGGAAATGATGATAGGTCGCTACTTACATATTTTTCGCTGACTGTCTGAAGCGCTGCAATCCCGCTAATCTGACATCGTACAACACGTCTCTGTAAAATGTATGTCAAACTACGATTGTTATTTTGACAGCCGTATGGGTGGCAGTTCGCGTGGCTTTCATTCCATGGTTAGATATGGATTAATTGTTTGTGCCTTAGTAGCGTTGCAAGGTTTAAGTTTACCACCTTTGATGTTTGGTCTTAGGCAAGTGTATCCCCGGGCTTTTTCTCGTGCTTGCTTTCTATCACTCGTAATTGTCCGAAATATAATACACGAACTTACTAGCAAGTTTATCAATCATAGTCTTCGGAATAAGTAAGCTGAAACATTGCCTTTTTGTTATGTCGTCACAAGCCTAAAACGGAGCAGAACACCCAGTAACCCATCTGAGCAACATCCATTTGTCTAGACTCTTGTCAGATATTAGACATAATTACAAAGCATACTCGCAGCGTATAGGACCATTTCGCCCAAGCTATCTTTTCGGCATTCTGAATTCTGCTGAATCTTTCCTTTGATTCGCATAGGTCATGTATATCGTCAAACCCGAATCTGCGGCTCTCTAGACTTAATACTCTGCTAATAATGCTACGTAGTTGACGTTCAGTGCCTACTATTAGTGATATAAGTATTACGCTTTACAAGAAACGTCATGGTTTTCTATGATTTTTTCAAGCCAGTTGACAACATTTATCCTCGCTTGTGACTGACATTTCTTTTATTTTATTATTTTCGACAGAGAAATGACCTAAAATTCTTTGAATACGCCGCAATATACCAGGTTGTGAGAAGTATCCATTTAATCACATTGCCGAGTTGACTGAACTTGGGCCGATCCCTTAATTAGATTTATACGGGGCACGTAAAAGATGATTTCCACCTTTGTGTTGCGGGCGATTTGGGAAAAGCTTGATCATTGGCCGATCAAAGACATCGCGCTAGCAGGCAATCCAGCTTGTGAAGCCATACTGGATCTAAGGAAGCAGCCCTAATAAGATAGCCCAACAGTACAGCAGGTTCAATTTTCATTACATCAAGGAGACTCACTTGCAACCAAGCTGACATCGCCGCTCACAGGTGACCATGGTGCGGTTTTCTATAGCAGCATTTTCACAACCTTCTGTAATAATTATCATACAGATAGACTTTCAGTGAACGCCACTTATTAGACAGCCATCAGTCTTGTAAAAGCATTGGGATCGAAGCACTGAGATTAGCGACCGTCCATTTCATATAGAAGGAAATAATTAAATTAAAAATTATGTGAAAATGTGATGGGTATCGTTGAAGCTGTTCTGTTTTTATGAATTGTTATAGTTATATAAGCTTTTCGTCATTATCATCATTTATGTTTGGATCTAACTGAATTTGGAGCACCTGTAAACTTTGTTGTTGACTTACTGAAGTTTTTGAAATCGCAGAGGCGACCGATATACGTTCCAGAGTATTCATTGGTTGGCATTGTACAGTTGCATATTTCTTGCTCGATTGCCATTTTGCACTCTTGCACACAACCTGAGAAGGTAAGATGGCCTCCCCATGCTGGCCGAAAGTCCCCTTCTTCATAGCGTTGACAGTTTGTGCGAAAAGGACGTGGTAAACGTTTTATCGTTTGCTAGAATATTCATCGACAAATTAAATACTTCAACCAGCTTTCTTATGTGCTCTGCGACGCGAGAAGAAGAACTTCCGCGTGAATTTAAGCTAGATTATTGTCAAGCATATATTACTGCTTAAATAACGTGTTTTAAAGAAGGGTGTTTCTGGCTGTCCGGAAAATAATTAACAAACAATTTAAATCGAGCGCGCCTTTTCAGCGTCGTCTAGCCGACAATGGAATTGTATCGAGCAAACTATTGATTATTCTTTTTTTAAACTTTAAAAACAAACAATTTTTAAAACTGTTTTTTTAGCTGAAACATACCTGTATCACGGTCACTTCGACCAGCATATCAGGAAACATAGAAATCGCTTCGATCGGGGTTGGGGGATTTGTACCAGCCCGATGCACAAACACCGGCAGTGTGTGCGACCCCATAAATGATAGCATATAAGAACTGTTCCATGTGACCATTAGCCGGAGTTCTGCCAGTGTAACCAACAAACGTGCCAGTGCACCGATTAAAAAATACATCCGCTCACAGGTTTTGATTTTTCGCAGATAACTTCTTACGAGCCATTCAAATCAATGTGGCTCCTATTGAATCGATAGATATCGGTAATACTGCTAATCTGCTATCCTAATAACTCTGCTTAAGGCACAGTAACATCAATGGTACACTGAGGCGAAAAAAACATAAACTACCCTTTAAATTTTAAAGACAGTAGCGCTTCTTGAAAGTACGGTTGAACTCTGCTGGATGAAGTCGTCAAAATGAGATAATTTCAATTAGGTAATTTTCTCAATGATTCGTTTAGTACCACCATTTTGTCAACAATAGGTTGGTACCGTACAGAGATTCAGCGTAATGTAAACCCTACCTACAAATGTAAACGTTATGATTAAATGGGTAATTGATACAGAGCGCATGAAGGATTTCGTAATTTAATAGGGATATTTTCAGATAACTATTCTCGTAAATATAATAAGCGTAACGTAGGACAAGGGTTATACTGACCGTAAAGCCAGGGATAAGGGCATGCGAAGAACAGATGGCCCTTGTGTAACTGCAGAGCATCGAATACGAAGCAAAACCGTGCAGGAATTTTGAAATATGCTCGGCGTATGCTTTACAGATACATGAACGAGGTAATGTAAGCAGGTCAATCCGATTTGTTATGGATAGCACGCCCATAGACTAATTGCTTTAATAGTTCTGTTTGTCTAAAGATAATTAGCGTATTCATGCATAAATATCCATTTAATTTAGTCGACAGTAAGTGAGATTTGCCGTTATGTGATGCCTTAAATTTTTTATTAGCTAGCCCTATATAAGTGTATCTATATGTCGAAATCACTAAGATCCTAACACGGCCTGAATTCCAGATGCCGTAAAGAGAATCCTGAGATTTCTATACGTAAGGTGCTGAGCCTTCAGGTTGGCTGCGACCAGCACCTTGATGATTTGATGATTTCTTTATGAAGATCCATATTGCTTATGTGTCTTAAATCATCAAAGCGTCCGCGCCAGAATAAGGAAAACGAAAGTTTACAACCAGAAATAGAGTAATCCGATTGAAAATAATCGAGCCAACTGTTTTTCTTCGTGACACGTAGAGCATAACACGCATAATCTAGTAGAAGACTTTTGTGTCATATCCGCACACATATATACTCTGTTCGGTTATCGGTGTTCGACAATCCATGGAGACCCATCAAAGCGATTTGGCGTTGCCCCGAAGATTGAAGCACACCCCTACACTAATTTTCTGTATATTGGCCTGCCTTTTCCCTTAAGAACAGCGAATTATTATGGTCCAAAATCCTTAGTGACTCAGGCTTTAAACCTTGACTGACATGATAACTGCACACAACGTTCCTAAATCGCTCATAAAATCTGAGGCCGGCGTGCAAATGCTTCAAAACATGCTGCACGGTTTTCTGCATCAGGTATATTATCCTTAGAAACACTCAATGGTGGTAACGGTGCAGTAAAATGATCTCGGGGCAACTGACATGACCAGATCGTAGAGGAAAGATACTTATTCGACAAGGTTAGTAGCGAGACTCAACGTTCCTAGTTATTTTCTTTTAAACAGTTTATACTACAGGGTTCGAAAAAGTAGAGTTTTGTTGCATGAAGTGCGTCAGGCTGAGGTTGTCACAAGAGTACGTCGTGGCGCGAAAACAATTGGGCACCGTGGAGAGTGTCGTGGAAAACCGTAGAACACGTTTCAAAGCAGCTCCATGTTGGACGCATACGACATTCGTATATATAGTAACATTATATATATATATATATAGAAGTGCTTCTCACAATTCATCGCAGTCAAATGACAAACACGACTCGTGCCTGCTGACCATATGACAGTCAAATAATTCGCTTATAATTGGTTGTCCATAGTCACGCCACTCCGCGTATATGACTAATTTCGGAACTGAATAGCGGTACATCTGAAAAATCAGGGCAAAGCCTTTTTACATTAAAAAAAAGTATATGTATTTTTTCGTCGATTGTATATGGAGTTTAGTCATATACCTTATGTCATTATGGCTTAATTCGTAGGACAACACAGATATAGCGTGCACCTGGATAAGGTGTACAAAAATACTTGATATGATTACTCCAACGTACCACATCCTTTTTGGTGCAGTTGTTCGGATAGTACTCGCAGACCTGGGATAGATTGTACCTGAAAATCGTTCACAGATCGACTAGGGTTTAAACAACGTTATAGGTAGATTGACTTTGTAAATTGTCTACGTTTCCAACGCCAACTGTATAAACGCCACAAGCAGCATTGTGACACATTTATCATCTTACAATTTCGTTACAAGGTGTTAAGCTAAAATGTTTGTTTACTATAATTGGCAAGTGACCTCTACAATGGCAACACGATTAACGCGTAGAGTATCGGGCTCGGAGACGAGAGTCAACAAATAATAAAAAGGGCTTCCATGTTGATCTTCGTTATAATATTCACCTTCATTAAGCTCACTGAAGTTTATTGAACCATGTACACTGAATTGTCTTCGCTTCAAAAGGTAAGACCCTCAATGTTAAGAGAAATGCCTCATTTGAGTATTTTTAAGAACCGCTAGATTTAATGTAAGGCTCATAATCTGATTCATAGCAGGCGGTGCGGCCTGCCCTATCGCTATAATGGTATTAAACCTCAAAGTCTGTTTTTTAGAGAAAAAGCTAAATTGTAATGGGCCACTTAACCTCTTCCTACTTTACTGTTTCTTCTAAAGATAAATCTAGGTCCCATAGTTTTCAAAAATACACTAACGACCGTTCTCCGACTAACCCTTTTGAGGGGAGTTTACGAAAACATGTACGTAGAGAACCTGTCGGGGACCAATAGACTCAGTTACTCGTAGCGAGATTCAAGTTCCATCAAGGTACTTAACTAACAATTACAAAATTTTGTCATCTAAAACATTTAACTACTACGTTATTCACAAGCGAGAGAGATGAGCTGATTCGGATAAGTTAGCTGACGAGCCTAACTAACTTAAATGTTTCTTAAATCAGCTGTACCTGGCCACGCCAGCAGGAACTATGCGTTTATGAATGCATGATGGCGCTGTAGTTCGCGAAAAGCCAAAAGAACCTTCGAGCATTTGTTCCCTAAGCGAATGTATTGCCTATCGTGCGGCAGTGATAAGCGCTCTCTCAGTTGTAACGATAACAGTGCATTCAAAAACTACGTTATTACACACAACGCACTCGGTGAACGTGCTAATATAAACACTGATAGTGAAGTACGAAATCCTCACAAACAATCGCACCAGTGTTCAGGACAGATTGTAACTGCAGGAAATATGACCGAATCCTTTTCGAAGGTTGGTGACACAATTGAAGGGTATTGAAGATAGATTTGTATTATACGACTCACCTGTAAAATGGCCATACCTTATTAATAGATAAGAATTTCACGCTAATCTCTAGTTATTTGAAATGTGAGAAAAAATATAATACCAGAGAGATAAACCAATGAATACATTTAGCCCTGGCTTCATGTGAGGTTATATAAACTAAATAGACCCGCCGCTCTCAGTGGAGGCGAATGTTCGCATGTTTCAGATGCCTGCAGACGACGCAATTCTAAATAAAAGAGCTATTTTACAATTGACATTTGTTTAACAAATGGCTTTCGCACTTACTTGGTAAATCATGCCGCTAAAACAGATGCAGAACATGATAAACCGGAACATAGTGGGAGATTCGAGCAAGCGGCTGTATTTTGTGGGAACTATACAAACGAGACCTTACACAGAAATCTGTCGGGTGCCTGTTGCACTCTCCGTTTATAAGGGCGGGAACCATATAAAATACGACTAATCTAGATAGCTCGATACATCCTCCAATATTAGAGGGCTCCTGTAAGGGATTGCCACCACAGGGAGGTACGCGAAATCTGCTAATGTACTCGTTCGTAAGTTTAGCGAAGATATCAGCAACGATAGAATAATTGCGTTATCGATCTCCCTGGACAATATGCGCGTTTCGCGTAGACAACTTCTTAGTTAGTTAAACATGTAACCCCTCTTCACGTTGTTAATATTAACACATTGTTTCATACAATCAGTAAATTATTTATGTTCGGCATTAAAGACATGGTGGAGAAAAATGTCGACATTTAATGTCACCAAAAGCTTGTGGGGATGAGGCGCCGGTGTGCGGTCTCGTCTCGGATCTCAAGTTGGGCATTATGAAGTAATCGTGACTTGGTAATCTACATTTCCTATATCATCATTGACAGATGATAATTAAAATTTTCGAAATTCATGGGCTTACAAGTTCATCTACACTGTGAAGTATAAGACTTGGCTATGTTACTCGGATTGTTATTATCGGTTACATGTATAGCTAGCTGTTCGGGCGCTTTTATCTGCTAGCAACAGTAATTGTATTGATTAGCGGCAAAGTCAGTCGGACCCAGCACGTGTGGCCGACTCTCCCTAGTCCCGTTTTCCCCTATCGCCCGCTACAAATTTACTATTTATCCGCTGGTCACAAAAATAGTACAGCGACAACCGTATACAGGGCTTCTTCAGCGCTAGTAGTGGTAGCTTCTTGAGGCATAATCCGCATATCGCTCCCGACGTGGTGTGGTGTGATGCGGAGCCTCTTGTCCGTGAACCAACACTGAAATACTTCCATCAGCACCGTCATCCATATCAAAAGAAAGCCTGAAATACAAATGATATCAATGAAGCTTGAGAAGGGTTAGCGGACCCGTGAGGGCACAGAAGGTACTCTACATCTGATAGCATCGGTAACATCGATGTCAGTACAAATTCTGTGAGGAAAGGACAGCGCAGGCAATCAGTCTGGTTCACACAAACTAAATCAAAGGATTTTCTAATTGTTGCTAATTTGAGTGGCCCAGGTCATATTCGCTGCCATTCGCAGTGGACGGTCAGCAGCCTCTAATCAAAAGCCGCAGGAAAACGGCGACAACTTCCTTCACCCATACCGCTTTTTATGTCCATCTCACCGTCGTATTTTTGACAAATCGTTGAATTTTTTACCCATTTTTCATTATCGGGTTACCCTCTAAAATTTGTTGTTCAGATAATGCTACACAAACAAAACACAGACCGGAGATAGTTGTCATGCTACACAGTGTTTTTCTCCCTTTGCGACAATTGCCACCAGGCTTAAGTACACTGTTTTGCCCTGGCCAAGTAAAAAAAAAAAAGTAACTTCGTTTCAATTCCACAATCACCTATTCTGCAACAGGCAGTAACAGGGATTTTCTTAAGGAATTTTTTGCCGGTACCGTTTTGGCCGGCAAGTAGAATATTTTTATTGATGCTTTTTAATGAATTACATATTTATGAGCAGTGAAGTAGGATTTAGGGCGTAAAATTATGCGACAACTTTTCGTCTTACCTAAACATTTGTTACTACTACTATTGTTGTAATTTAAGGTTCTGTAGATACTGGGCAACTCTTTATTGTTTTATCCGAAGCCATCAACATGCCGAAGCCCCAGCAGTCAGAATCTATTTGCCAATTAACTCTTCCATTACCTGGCAAATGGAAGAAACGAGAACATAGACAATAGCGTATGCTCCATATGGCAGACACTTATCCTATGCTTGTTACTAATTTAATACAGGCTGCCCTGTACAATGGCGAACAGATTTTCTTGCGAAAATTGATCCAGCCGTTCCTTAGTTCTTTGTCTGTCTTTGTTGACCCTATTCGTCAACGTCCGTTCATAATCAGATATGTCCCCCTTCCGCCTTTCCAGCCCCTTTTCGAGTAGCAGCGTTCGATACGTTTATTCTTTTCTGTCTTAGTCAGTCCTCTTTCTTTTCGAGCATTATGCACACAAAAGTAGCATCTACGAGATTACGTTCTAAGCTGTTTGGCTACCTGTGCCAAAACGGTATGTCGTGTTACAGGGGACACTATCCATCGTCCTTAATGCACTTGCCTTGTTTCCTTCCGCTAGCTGCGTTGCCTGACCTGTGGATAAATGTCGTGTGTTCTTTAAGCCAAACACAGCCCCATGTGCTTCAGTACTCCATTCGAGTACGCCTTCCAGCACCACTTCAACAGGTGCTACACCGCCATTTTCTGCTTTTTCCTAGCTCTTTTATTCGCTGGCCTTTGCGTCTACTATTTTACAAGGTGTCACTTCCCCTCAGTTTTCGCTAGTGTTATCTACCGTTGCCTCAGCGTCGTCGTGGCTGATGTCAACGTGGTGATCGTGAACGCTGTGGACGGGACGATGTTGCTACTGCCGATGTACGTTCTTCTTATACTCGTCGTCCTGTTCGGCCAGTTTCTAGCGTTGCTTCTGCCGGTCCAGTTTTCCCGGTGCCTCAATTAATCGCTTGGAAACGTGCCCTGACTTGCTGACGACAAGAGCCTATGCTGCTACTACTCTCAGTGGAGGGTAGCAACGGGAGCTGCTACTGGTTGTCCTTTTACATTCCGCCTAGCTTTGGCCTCTCTAGCAGGCTTCTTGTCTCTTCTCTTCAGAGAGTAGTGAGAGATAAAGGGAGAGCGGCGAACTGAAAAGACCACCTAGACAGAGGTGAGAGGCTGTAAGCAGCTAGCTTACGACCCGACCGTCTTGAACAGGTTTTGGCCGCCGTTCTGCTAAACAAAAGCGGAACGGAAGAACGTTGTCGCTCGGAGAATAAATAGAAGAGCTCAGCTTTTCAACTCTCCAACTGAACGCTACTGCTCCGGTTGGCGTCAGGTTGATGGGTCGAGGTTTATCGATAGCCGATAGGCGACTAGGCCGCTCTGATTTGTCGTCAATTGAAGAATGAGGTTTTTGAGGTGTTGAAGGGAGGCGTGTCAGCTCTTTTGGGCTGTTCTTAGCAGCTGTCGATCCTATAGGTAAGTATGCAAATTTCGTGACCCACAACTATTTCTCTTACTGCATGTAACCGAGACAGACTTTAAGTTTGGAACATGCTGGCATTCTGCTGTACTATAGCTCCCGTAATAATTGTTCAAATTACGAAGCATTACTATAATGACTATTCTCTGTTGTAAAATTAATGCATTGATTCCATGGCTACTTTTTGCGAGAGCACTACTCTGTACCAATGTACACGAAGGACTATTGAATTTGTGAGGCTGGCTGTTGAAGGCGATAAGTTCATGCAGTCGCAATAATGACCCTTCAGAGTTTCTTCTGTGCTCAAATTAACTCGTGTAGTATAAAACGCTCTTCGCTTTCGACGAGTGTTCAAGAGTTATCATACCCATGTCCAAAAGTGAGACACAAAAACTAACGAAGTTAGTTTTTGTGTCTCACTTTAAACTGATTGCTCGAAATAATCGTTACGTAAAATTTATTTTAGTTAAAACTTTTTGTCCATTTTAGCTTAAGTTGCATTCATACACGAGTCACTTTACTTAAATTGTTCCATTAGCGCGAAGCTTTGAAACACCCTGTAATAGGAAAGGGCACGCATATTAGTACACGTACACAGCATATGATACACTTAAACTTAATATATACTTCACAAATTGTAGGCAGTTGCAATAGGAAACTCGATCATAACTGAAATCTACCTTCTTAGAAATAACTTTCCCTAGACGTCTCGCACACGACAGTGCCTGACTTCGAGGAACTCGAGGATGTAGTGATAAATGCAAAATAGCGCCTTAAAAGAAAACTTGTCAACCTGTTGTCCTACTAAGTATGCATCGTCCTTCGATAATGTCCTACGCTGTCATGGCAAAGCTTTTACTGGTCTCTGCATTTTGGTCGCTCTCTCTAACGTGTCTTGCCGAAGTTCCCAATTCAAAGGGTCTTGTCTTATCTTGAGTCACATGAGTAATTACATCTTCCGCATATTCTTCAGCGGGGTAGTTGATGGAATGGCGAAAAGAAGACGTAGCTGCATTCAATTCCCGATTAGCTTTCTGATTAAGAGACAGACTCTGCATCGGTCGTCTTTGTTGTCTTGCACTTGCCGGATTGTCTGTTTGCATAAAACATCGACAGTACCCCCTACCTGTAGTTTTACGACAGAATCGACTAGTCCCAGAGTTCTCACAGATTCCCCACGGAGTTGATGACATATACTGCACTGATCCATCAATTCTGCCATCGAAAAACCTTGACCCTGCCATGGTATGAGGATGTTTAGGGAAGCTGTCACTAGGACCCGAGCAGTGAGTAGGTGATATTTTGCTGCTCATTGAAAGGAATTGACTTCGTTGCGATTAAAGGTTAACTCGTGCTGACCAAAAGACGTGTTACAAATTCGAACGAAGCTCACGCTTATGTATTTGTTGAGGTTACGAAAAGCTTTAAATTTTAATAGAAATAGAAAATATGTCGCGGCCATTTACATTGTATATAGAAATCTAGGGGAAACCCCCTCAATACTGGGAATCTTGAACCTATGAGCGTATAATGGGACGCGATACTGAATGTAAAATTCAAAACTTTTAGTTGTATATACACTGAGAACTCATTGATGATCAGCAATTTCAAATCCTGCGTGACCAGGGACTTATATTAGGTGCAGTTCCACTTGTACATTAAGATCATTAATTTCCTTTGAGAGACGTAAGAGCGGTTTGTTGTTGACAGCTTTTTTGTGTGTTTTCACAGTTGTTATTGACAGAGAGTTTAACTTTCCAGTTATTTATGGATTTTAATTTATGGATTTAATTTATGTAATATATGGATAACGAATTATTACCATTGATTAGTGTGTATTGCTAGACGTAAACAGATATCCTGTACAAGTTAACACTTTGAATGTTCGTACATTCGACATATATGTTGGCTCTCTTCCTCGTGGCACAAAGCGGACATTTAGAAATAAAGTAAAAGTATTTTATTAACAAATTTGCAAGTCCGAGACTGCATCAGTTAGCATGTGCCTAGCAGGATGTATGCAGATTACCTTTATTTGACTTAGGTTAAGTTTATTATATTTATTTGTTTGTTTATTTAAAATGTATAGCAGTGGCTAAAAAACCGCTGAATTATGTTTAGATTTAATAAGTGTTACACACAATAATATATAACACACAATAGGTGTGACAGTGATGCAAACACAATGTAGCTTGTTTGCCATAATACCGTACAATTTGTATGAAAGGAAGGTATTTTACACAGCGATATCACTTTATGAATCGTTTTTTCCTAGGCTCGGTAGTAGGTTTGTTCGAGTCAACCTGAGATCCCAACTGACATAACTGGGTGAAGGTACAGGGTAAGAAATTATCCATGAGGTAATGGCTAACTCTACTACTGGGTTTCAATCTAAAAAGTCAAGTGGAGGCAAATGATCTATTTGCAGCTAAAATAATTTGAAGAAAAACTAAAATTCAGACGAATGATACAGCATAGTATAGCAACGCGAACTTCACTAGATCTTCCTTAGTATCCAAAAATAAGAACAATAAATGTATTCTTATGAAGTGACTGATAGATACAACGGCATTGTACAGCAACCTACGTCCCGAAAAAATGCACTTCCAATCAAGATTAGATTAAAATAACTAATTATTATTATAATAATAAAGGAGTATTTATATACTTCAAAAACACTTTAGTACCACAGAAGACAAATTTGTGTTACAAATATGCTCCTATGGAACAAATAGTTTCATGACGTTCGTACTGTGGTACTTTGGTTCGATATTTTAAAAGCTTTCTGGATGCAAGATTAGCTTCTTCGGTACGGGTCCTTATTCTTATAAACGACGCATACTATCGCATAATTTTCAGCTCGAGCCTCTTTTTATATACCTTTGTCAAATAAACCAAATGAGACCTCGTGCTTTAAAGTTTCGCATGCTGTCACCACCCACTAGGAACAGGATCTGCATGAGATTACACTTCAAAAGATCAGAAAATATGAAGTGCTTTATGCAGAAACTTTTCGGAATAAATACGCATATATTAAACCTCAACGTTCTGTCGTCCGGCCGACGAGAAAACCTTAAGGCTGTAATAATGAATAGTCAAGTATTATAACGCTTGGATACGCATTATATATAACAAAAGCAAGCGGCAAAGTTAAACACATGGCGGCGTCCATATTTTGACTTCTAATTAGTCTTAAGTAAATAATAGCAAACATTTTACCAGCATCTTCAGGTTTGCTTTCGAGATTCTTTTGGAGCAAACGTGCCGGTTCCTGTTTGAAGGCTGGAGACCAGTAGAAATTTTATCATACGTTTTTCAACAAATCTTCAGTTCTACGCGAAGCGTGCAGCAGGATATTCGAGCGTACTAACAAAGCATCAAAAGTGTGATGCAGTCAAATGTACTAAAATATTTCTCATTCATACGAAGCATAACTTGCGTTCTATTGAAATAATAAGTAAGCACAATGTTACTGATTGAAACAACGGAACGCAGAGAGCGCTACGCTTCTCTGCGTTCCTCGACGGTGGCGAGCTATCGAGGTTCATCCTGATAGTGGCAGGTCCGGTGGCTATTAAGATTGATTTATATTTGAATTTATTGCCCTAGAATGATGTAAATCGGGAAAAATAAATAGCGGAAAATGCTTAGTCACCAGCTGCTTTTTATAGGATATAAAGGTTTTGTAATCATGCGGATGTAGATCGGTAGAATAAGGGATTTGAAGCGGACGTTGAATATTTTTTGCTCAAACCAGATATTTCAGGCCTGAGGCTAGAAAAATCTGACGTTGTTGCCAAATAACCAAATAGAGTCCGTGCCCTAGATTGTCGTGCCCGTAAGTTTCTTGAATAACTCGAGATACTGGGCTGTATTTGTTTTCGTTTATGTTCATTATGTTTCATTACTTCATTTTCGATACACCTGACGATAAAGTGCGGTTATTACCTAACGTCTGAACCTTCTTAGACACCGTTATCAAACACAAAATTTTGAAAAAATTCTCGGAAATGCTGTACATCCTTACAATAAAATGCCTGAGGGATAGGGGAAAGACAAAATAATTCACCCAACAAGCACTGCTTGAAGCAGGCGATTGAAGTCAAGTTCAAAAGACACGTTAAATTGAGGAGAGGAGTAGTCAGAAGGAAACTTTTCAAAAGTAGCACTCGGATCGGGGTGCACGATAAGCGTACAAAAGAGAAATTTAACGTATGATAACATCAAGTTATTCTGAATAATGAAAAACTCAAACCCCAATTCAAAGGTTAAGTGTACTGCGTGCATTACAAGCGAATATTGACCTTTTCGTTTAAAAATAAAGCGGGTACTCATAGCAGTAAGAAGTAGGGTTCTAATAATACAAAGCATGGTTTTGTTTGTAGAAGCTTTAGGCGAAATCCGGATCACGGGCATCTTTCTAGAAGGCTGGAAAAAGAGCAAATCTAGTATCAATATAAGAGGGAGGACAAAACCCTTCAAACCAATATTCTGGCTCATGGCGGAAAATCGTTGCGGGCTAATTGCTCAAGGACATCAATAATAAACATTTTATAATGCCTTGTAAGACGATCCTGGAAATAATTAGAGCAAAAATACTTAATGTAAATGGGGCGTGGAAATTTCATATGAGAAGAGTCACTTTAAGTCACCTAAGTAGAAGGAATGTTCTACACGATAGTAATATCAACATACCTAGGATGTCGTCCAATGTTTAGTGCTTGGCCCTCTCCTCCAAAATATAGGGTGCGATGAGACCCTAAATCAGGTCGATCAAAACTGATATATCTTGCGGCCAATACAGTACGTGTCACAATGTACGTAAGAAAAGTCACAACGCGGAAGATGCAAGGATATATGACAATTAACAGTGAGTAGAACCTCCTTGACTCTTACAAGTAATTCTTAAACGGAAGTCTAACAAAAGAAACGTTTCGAAAGGTGACACTAGGAAAATGGTAATGGAAAATGAGAAAATAAAACTAATACGGCATGAAACGCAAAGATTTTTTCGAAAGGAACCAATAGACAGCTGGCATTTGGTTTGACTCAAACCTTCCTTAGCACCTTCAATTACAACGACACGCTAGATACTTGCCCAGGACAGATTAATGGGTTCTAAAAATGCTAAAGTCCACAGAGAAATAACACGTGGTTTATGAATCTGTTAGTAGGGTTATTACAAAATGAAACTGAGCTTTAATGAGACGATGGAGGGGTGAGCTCCGTATTTTTTTCGGCCGATCCCTTTCTTTTTCTCTTTGTTCCTCCCCCACCTGGTAGATTTGCCAAGGTGATGTTTAATTAGGTGTTCGCGGACTCATGGGTCTCTTATCCATTGCCAAAGCAGTCGATGCATCTTTCCCTTTATCGTTTAGTTAGTCTGTGAGGAAGTGATTTTGGTAGGTAATAAAAACGTCAGACCATTTAGGGCTTTTGGCAGTTCTATTCTACCTAACCACATTATGCGAGGAGTCCAAAGCATTTCCGCTATTGGCGACTGCAAAAAATGCCCACTGAATTCGATTCCTATCGACGGCGACTGCAGTTCTTTCGCTGATTCCTCTCCTTGGCGATGGAGATTGTCGTATGTCTTGTCGCGTTCGCATGCTCCAAACGCAATTTGCGGAACAAATTGCATCATACCCATTTTCAGAATGGCCTCAAGTCAAATCATGGGGGACCCGTTTTTTATTCAGTTTCCGCATTTTCAGCATTGACTGGCTATTAACCAGTCAGCCAAAGGGTATCAGATACACACAGCTGATCGGAACCGGCAATACATTTACCGTACCAATAAATATCCTCTGGACCTGCTTACACGATCAGGCTACTGTGCAGGACGTTTTTATCCCGTGTAGGACCTTTGATATCTTGCGATGACATGCGGCTGCCGTGATCTGCAAAACCTTAGTGCTATTATAGAGCTTGGTCACGCCTGGATCCCAGTGCGGGTTTTCCCAATTCTTACATTGCAAAGGATCCGGACTCAGCGTTTTGTGATTTTCTTCCGAAGGATCGAAATGTGTAGGTGTGACAACGCGCCAACGCCGGGAATCGTTGTGCCATTGCGGTATTGAACACTGCAGTCGTATGTCAGTAGCTCTAGACTCGATCGTGCCAGCTTCGTGCGGGTGGTGATATTTTTTTTCAGGCTTCATTTCAACGGAGTACTGATGGTCACCGTCATACACCTCTAGCCCTATTACTCAGATGACGGCCAAATCGGTCTTAATTTTGTCTTCTGGGCCAAGAGTCAAACACTAGCATAGAGTCAACTCTAGCGTACGCTATCATAAACACTCGGCGCTTGGCGCTTCTTGTACTAAGAATGCGTCCATCCTGGCGCCACATGCATCGGTCCGGATTTCGGTCAGCAAATCCTCTCGGGAGCACTGTGAAATGCCTTTTGCTGCAACTATAGGAAAACCGATGGGTGCTAAACAACGAATCGTACGGCGGCCTGAAAATTCAACGAATCTCCGCAAAAACCGATGGTAGTATGATGGAAGCTTTTGAAGCTAACGCGTGGTTGTAGGGGACTCCAGGGCACCTGTAACGTTATCTTCTCTAGTCCGTTCAAGATGCTCTACGCAAAGGTCCCACGGTGAAAGCGAAAGGGGTTTGGTCAACCAGCCGACCAAGAAATATTTTGTACCTGCAGCTGATAGGAACCGAAAACTTTATTAGCGTATTTCTGCCGGTATAATCGCAACTGCCAACGATAGAACCTTGTCGTTGTTGTGAATTTGGTGAGACCATGAAAGGCGGAAAAAAAAACCGATCCGGTTCACTGCTTGGCAAAGTTTGTATTATACTTCTATATAGCTGACATTTTATACAGGATCACCCTAATATGAAATGAAAACTCTGGCTTTTAGAACCTTTTTCAAAAGCATAGTTGTTTAATCGTTTATTATTTGAATGGTAACTTGTTTATTCCGATATTGATACGAGAGTCTAAAAAGTTTCGAAGGCTAAAGGTTTGAACAATTATTCTTGCCAGATAATTTACCGACATTTCGAAAAAATAATTACCCTTGATTTGCGCTGAAGCCGAGCTTCGTCGTCCATAAATAATAATGTATAGTTTGTTCATCCTCGTCTTCAATTGTTGATAGAGTACTTTTCTATAGCACGCTTCAACGAACTCAGGGTATATAAGGGTATAGCGGCCAGCACAAGCCTTCGACCACCAAATAAACACCGTTACGCTGTTGCAGCTGTCCATTCGCTTATCGATAAGAATGACTCCATAT